TGCTAAATTATTTGGACTAGTGTTACAATTATTTTTTGATTTTGATGACGAAGAACTGGCTCCAATATTTGCTGCTACACATCCAACTGATACACTGAGAGGTGCAGAATTTTCTTGCGTAGCTCCAATATCAATTTGTTGTTGTCTACTGAAATGATCTAGTTTCTCATTATTAATAGGTGGTGATGCAGAAGAAGATTGTTGAGATGGTGCTTTATTTTCAACATTCAATGATTTCCTTGATAACTTCACTTTTTCTAAATTTTCAAGCTTCAGATCATTTGTTTCGACTGATGATGTCGATGATGGATTTGCATCTATAGTCGAATAAAAACTTGAGTAGGTGTCAGCTGTTAGGTTTTGACGACGATTTCTCAATTGTTGCTCGTATGACTGTAACGTTGACGTTGAAGAGGGTGATGGTGGAGGTGGCGTTGAATTTGAAATTGATGACGATGATAAATGTTGATTTAAAAATGTTGAATAAGCGGCACTGGAATGTTGTAGTTGTTGTAAATGATGCATGTTACAACCACCTGAGTGATGTTGATGCCGAATATGATGACAGTGATTGGACAAATGACTATTACTACGTGGAATATGCAATAAATCATCGGCATCTTGGAGTCCTGGAGGAAGTCGTTGCAGTTGATTTTGATATTGCTGTGACTGCTGAAATGCATTTGCCCATCGTTGACTAGATCCGTTGAGTAGTGGTGTAGACGATGGTGGGGATGAATACATATTACTGCTTGGAACATCATTTGGATAGATATGTTGTATTGCGTTTCCTAATGCTTCTCCGGTTTGCACTGTTTGTTCCGTTCCATTTGAACCATATGTACCAGATCGAAAACTGGTCATAGGTGGTAAACATGCATTTGATTCACTGAATTGTAAATGATTATCGTTTGGTAAATAATTAGACGATGTCATTATGGTCGGCTAACAAATTAAATCTCTTTATAATGTGTTTAATGTAAGCAGAATGAAAATAATAATGAAACAGTTTGAATATATATAAAAAATGAGAGAGTGAAACAAAATCGTCAGACTGGTTTATAAATAGAGAAGAGAGAAGACCAGTAGTATCGGTCTGCCTGAGCAAAGAAAACAGGAATAAACTGTATGCATGAATGTACATGCGTTTACAGAAAAGAAAAATATATCTATGAAAAAGAAAACATGATGTTCCATCATATATAAAACAACTTATGGATTAGCACATGATCTAACTACTAGGACATAACACGTGCATCTCATATAGCTGATTAGTGGAATACAGAAAATATTTCGTGAAACTATTTTGTGATATTTAAATTTTTAGTTTTAAGTTATCACAGGGCATCCACGGATGTCACAAGTCTTTTGTTCTTTTTTGTGATATCCTGCTCTCTTGAGTAAATAAAAATCTTATCTTATCTTACCTAAACAAAATTTTCTTGGATCAGACGTCCACTGGAGAGAGGGGTTATCAAAAACAGGAGAAAGCCGGATAGAGCGAGGTGGGATAAAAAACTCTTGCTTACTGCTGATCGTCCTTAAAGTATGATCCGTAATCAAGCCTAGTCGAACTTCTTGATCCAAGGAGCTGCAAGAAAGTAAGAAAAAGAAGAAAGTGGGACACTTCTTGGGATAAGAAATGTTTCTTGCTTTCTTGCCCCAAGATCTTGGGACAAGAAATGTAAGAAAACACGCCTTGCATTCCTTGATCCAAAACCTTGAGGCAAGACGTACCTTGCTTGCCCTTCTTGCGTTCAATAAGATTATTTCTTGTGTTTCTTGACGCAAGAAATGGATCCTCGCAAGAAAGCAAGAAACATTTCACTCGTTCTTTCTTTTCTTCATTCGCATTGGCAATTATGACACTATGTTTTGTTGTCCTTAAGCACGATGAAACCATAGCTACATTTACAGCTACATTTGCGGTGTACATGGAAGCTAGCAAAAGATTTTAAAGGAGGTAAGAAGCACGCTAGTTTTTGAAATGGTTCATTAAGAAATAAAGTTTTCATTAAAAGATATAAACAACAAAATGTAAAAATTTCATTCCGGAGTTTCAATATGCCAGCAGAGTTAGCTGACCGCGGCGCCACACAGTTCGTACAGTTTGTTTTCAGAAATTTGGTCTCCTGACAACGTGTGCCATGAATCATTCATCTCTTATAGTTTGTCGGTAAGGACATTCTGGGAAACACTGAGCGTACCAGGACTGTGGAAAATGAACCTAGTGTACAATACCTTTGCGTTTCACTATAGAACTGAGGAAGAATTACATTTGAAATAACATTACCATTATTCTTATTTTAGTATGAATCTACCATTTTATACTCTGAAAAGCATATGTTTTAAAATACAAAAAATGGTAGACATCTATCCAACAATAATAATAATTAATAAAATAATTTAAAAATTTTTATTTATTTAAACTAATAATAATAATAAAATTTAATAAAGCAATAGAAATTATAGCACGAACTACTCCTAAATAACTAAAATCTTATCTTTAATAGAATAGTATTGCAATCTGAGACGCTGTACCAGACCAAGGAACAGTTAGAAATAGAAACTTCTGGAAGACCGAAAATATCAAAATATCTTCCTTTTCTTCTTGGTATATCGAGATACCTAAAACTTTTTTGTGACATAAAAAGCCCTCAACAATTTTTCAGAACATCGTTTAGTCGTATTTTAGAAAACTAAAACTAACTATTTTTGATAAGAATAAAAAATGTTTAGAAGATATTCATAAGGTTCAAATAATACAGAACGAAAAATGATGTATCACTTACGTTATGGATAATGCTACTGTTACAAATAGACTATGCCAGTGATCAAAGGAATGTTAAGCGCACGTGTAAACGTGTTTTACACGTGCGCTTAACATTCCTTTGATCACATGGATGGGGAGTATGAATCGTATATTTTTTAATCGAACTATACTAGTAAAATCTAGATCTTCAAAAGTCCGACAACAGAAATGTTTACTGTGTGAACAAATTTCGACCAATAGTCTTGCTGCTAGAGATCGTCTATAGTGGGTTTCTGGTTCACCATGCTCGATAATGCTTGCCATACCACTTTATAAGCCATACCACACGCAGACATTTATTTCATATGATCCTAGACTGTCAGTCAAGCGAACATCTGTTTTTTTTATTAAATTATTATCCAGTTACAACGCCATAAATTGCTGAAAAAATAACTTTGGAACGCGTCTATAACACGACAGGCTACGTCTGTCGCATTGAAATGAAATAAATCTACAGCGTTGTAATACCATAATTTAAGAAGAAGCATGTTTTATACGGTATAACGGTATAAATAGGGAAAAAAAGATCCTGTGGGAGAAAAGTTCAGTTTTGTTATAGCGCGCGTAACTCGAAGTTTCCATACAATTTTATTTTTATTCTTTTTATATAAGGCCGTATAGAGCGGAAGCCAGGGATCTCGGACCACACCTTCCGAGCCTTTTTAGTGCACGTCTTTCTGGAAAAAAATTCAAAATAGTGAGAGAGGCTCTTTTTTTATAAAAAGCTCCCGTTTTTAAAAAAATATCCGTATCTCAGCTCCTGAGCATTGTGGACGGTCACAGTGATGTTATTCGGAATCAGCATGAAAAACTGATTATAGACCACTATTTTTCAAAATTTTAAGTCAAAATCTGAAAGTTTGGTGGAAATTTAAAATGGGGGCGCCAAAACCCGGAGAGGGTCATCTTGCAGACCTATCTAGTTTTTTGTGTTAAGCGATAGAACCTTCATTCTTACCCCGTTCGAACCGCCGTGAGTCACGCAACAAAAGTACGTTGGCTTTATATG